TGATTGGATGCCTCAACCGGGATTCTCTAAATGGAACAAGCGAAGCTTCTGATTGGATGCCTCAACCGGGTTTATCTAAATGAAACAAGCGAAGCTTCTGATTGGATGCCTCAACCGGGTTTATCTAAATGAAACAAGCGAAGCTTCTGATTGGATGCCTCAACCGGGATTCTCTAAATGAAACAAGCGAAGCTTCTGATTGGATGCCTCAACCGGGTTTATCCAAATGAAACAAGCGAAGCTTCTGATTGGATGCCTCAACCGGGCTTCTCTAAATGAAACAAGCGAGCCATGTGACTGGACGGAGCCACAGGTCCAAGGTTCGATCCCCAGCACATCTTATGGTGTCTCTGAGCAACACACACTCCCTATCCCCGATTGCTCCCCAGGCGCCCTCTATAGCTCCCCACTTCACCACAGTGGAGATGGGTTAAATGCAGAGCCAATTTCACCATTGTATGAACATACTGTACAATAATGACAACACATAACACATTAGTGAGTTTACTTCATTTATTCTGGCCGCTGTTTACATCCCACCGTGCGCGGACGTGCACGAGGCTGAGCGCGCGCTCGCGGACCAGATCACGAGTGTAGAGCGAACTTTTCCAAGTAGGTATCTCTGCTACTCCCTTGTTATCATCCTTGGAGATTTTAACAAAGCAAACCTCAGGCATGAACTACCTAAATATAAACAGTTTATTAAATGCCCGACCAGAGAAGGAAACACGCTGGATCACTGTTACACCACAGTGAGCGGTGCTTATCGTGCTGTGCCTCGTGCTGCCCTGGGTCTCTCAGATCACGAGATGATTCACCTCATACCTGCATACAGACAGAGACTGAAGCTCTCAAAACCTGTGGTGAGGACATCCAAAAAGTGGACCAGTGAAGCTGTGGAGGAGCTACGCACGTGTTTGGACACCACAGACTGGGACCTGTTCAGGGCTTCTACAGACAGTCTAGACGAATACACAAACACTGTGACGTCATATATACATTTCTGTGAGGACAGCATCATCCCATCATGCTCCAGAGTCATTTTCAATAAAGATAAACCCTGGTTCACATCCAAACTAAGACAGCTTCGTCAGCTGCTTTCAGAGAGGGGGACAGAGACAACTAGACGTGCGAAGTATGGATTTAGCAGGGAGGTGTCGAAGGCTAAATCCAGGTACAATGCACAGCTGGAACAACAGTTCTCTGCAAACGACTCTGCCTCTGTCTGGAGGGGGCTGAAAGAAATAACTAACTACAAGCCCAGAGCACCTCATTCTACAGACGATCTCAAACTGGCAAATGATCTGAACGACTTCTATTCATGCTTTGAAGTCATGGACTCACATTCCTCCATCCTCCACACCAACCCCAGCCCAACTGGTTTAACCACTTGGGACTGCCCCAGACAACCCCCTGCTATCTCTGTACAAGAGGATGAAGTAAGGAGGCTTTTTAAAAGACTGAATACACATAAGGCTGCAGGCCCAGACCTTGTGTCACCCTCCACGCTGAGACATTGTGCTGGAGAGTTGGCTTCGGTCTTCACAGGGATCTTCAACTCTTCTCTGGAGTCATGCCACGTCCCAGCCTGTTTCAAGTCCTCCATCATCGTCCCTGTCCCCAAGAAGCCACGTGTCACAGGACCAAATGACTACAGACCTGTAGCTCTCACGTCTGTAGTCATGAAAACCTTTGAACGCTTGGTTTCATCTCACCTCAAGTCCATCACCAACCCCCTCCTGGACCCCCTGCAGTTTGCCTACAGGGCCAACAGGTCTGTAGATAACAATAAACCTGGCTCTTCACTTCATCCTGCAGCACCTGGACTCCCCAGGAACCTACGCCAGGATCCTGTTCGTGGACTTCAGCTCCGCATTTAACACCATCCTCCCTGCTCTGCTCCAAGACAAGCTCTCCCTGCTCCATGTACCTGACTCCACCTGCAGGTGGATCACAGACTTCCTGACAGACCGGAGTCAGAGCGTGCGGCTGGGGAGAGCTGTCTCGGACACTCGGACTGTAAGCACAGGATCTCCACAGGGCTGTGTGCTTTCCCCCCTGCTTTTCTCCCTGTACACCAACTGCTGCACCTCCAGCCATGACTCTGTGAAACTTATTAAGTTTGCAGATGACACCACCCTCATCGGGCTCATCTCGGACGGTGATGAGTCTGCATACAGGAGGGAGGTGGACCGGCTGGTGACCTGGTGCAGCAGCAACAACCTGGAACTCAATGCCCAGAAGACAGTGGAGATGATTGTGGATTTCAGGAAAGCCACAGCCCCTCTGCCCCCCCTCACCTGTAATGATACCCCCATCACCACTGCAAACTCTTATCGGTTCCTCGGCACCACCATCACCCAGGACCTCAAGTGGGAGCCAACCATCAGCTCCCTCATCAAGAAGGCCCAGCAGAGACTGTACTTCCTGCGACAGCTGAAGAAGGCCAAGCTGCCGGCCAAGCTGATGGTGCAGTTCTACACGGCCATCATCGAGTCCATCCTCAGCTCCTCCATCACGGTGTGGTACGCCGGGGCCACTGCCAGGGACAGACTGCAGCGCGTTGTGCGCTCAGCTGAGAAGGTGATCGGCTGCAGCCTTCCATCCCTCCACGACCTGTACGTCTCCAGGACTGTGAGGCGAGCAGGTCGGATCACAGCTGACCCTGCTCACCCTGCACACGGACTGTTTGAACCACTCCCCTCAGGCAGGAGGCTTCGGTCCATTTGGACCAGAACCTCCCGCCATAAGAACAGTGTCTTCTCTGCTGTTGGACTCCTGAACACTCATAATGCTACCTCATAATTTCTGCTTTGGTCACATTACATCTGTATTATAATTGAATACTCCATCTGTACTGTTTTCTAAGCTTTTTATTGTTTTCTATTGTATGGGTGTACATACGGTTATGTTATGTTTTTAATTTTACTTTATTTGTGGGTGTACACAGGTCTTATGTCTTATGTAATGTTCTCATTTTTACTTCATTACTATTCGCACCTTATGTCGAAGTAAATTCCTAGTTTGTGAACCTCGTTCATTGACATGGCAATAATAAACTGATTCTGATTATTATTGTATTGTATATACTGTGAAGCGGTTTTGTTGCTGTTGTTGATTTTTTTTATTAATTTAAATGTATTTATTTATTCCTCTTCATCAAACTGTCATACAACAACAGGTGTCTTCAGTCAGACTTCTTCAGATCCGCTGTAAGACAGACCGCTACAAGAGATCCTTCCTGCCCACAGCATCTCACCCAGCACAGAGGACACACTTTTTGTCCCGCTCCTCAGGAAGGAGGTTGTAGAGCATTAGAACCACTAGACTGAGGAACAGCTTCTACCCTGAGGCTGGACTCATGAATCTCTAACCAGGATAATCACTGTGAAAAATCACATCATGTTGCTAATTTCAAGCTGCTGTGTTCATTCGTACTCATCTGCTCAGACTCATGATCGTGCTGCTGTTCGGCGTATTGTTTTTGTACCCTTACCGTATTTTTAGTTAACGTTTTTCTTAGTTCGTATCTTAGATCTTAATACTGTTTTTCGTTTACATTTTATGCTTTTAATTGGATGTAACTGGGACCCTGTATACGGTAGTTTTGTTCCAGCACATGTGGTGCGAATGACAAACTCCGACTCTCACAACTCTTTAATGAAACCAGGATGAGTTACAACCATTAATTTCCCTCTGGGATTAATAAAGTATTTTTGAATTGAATATTGATTATGCATGTTGTTTTAGATAACAAAAGAGATGTCACTTCTCCAGAAACAGTATCATGAAGAAATGAGAAAGAGGAGCTTTCTGATGTCCAACAAGAATTTATTTTCAGAATATAAACACATGATGAAATTTACAACTATTTAACAATTTTTTTATGAACAATAAACTATTTACATAAATAACCAGGATAATCACATCATGTTGCTGCTGATCTGTTTCATGTTGCTGTTCATACATACTCATCTGCTCACACACTCATGCTCGTGCTGCTGTTCAACATAGTTTTTTTTACCACTAGTACTTAGCCTATTTTTAGTTAACATTTTTCTTGGTACCATTTTTCTTTTACATTTTAATACTTTTGTTGGATGTAACTGGGACCCTGTGAACAATGTGGTGTGTATGACAAATGAAGAACCTTGAAATAATTAAACAAAACAGAACAATGAACTATTTACATTAAAAATAAAACAAAAAAGAGGAACAAGACAGTTAAACATATTTAAAAATGGGGAGAAAAATAAAAGTCTTCTCCTAGCTAGCTTTTCTCCTCCTTTATGTCCGTCTTCCACTCCTCCACACTCTTCCCCCCAGAAGAAGCGCAGTAGGACACACCACCGATCCTGGTGTGTCCTGTATCCAGCCTCTTCGGCTGCCCACACCTGCTACAAATGTAACATTTGTGCTGCCGCCTTTTGGTGGGGACCAGCTCTCCAGCGGCGATAGCCTCAGCCGCCTTCCTCCTCCTGTACGCCGTAGTCCTGGACAAATTCGATGGAGGAGGAGGCAGCTGAGCAGGTGTGGTTGCAGCCTGAGGAAGAGTGGGAAGAGCGGCAGCTGGAGACGGAGCTAGAGCAGGCGGAGGAAGTCCCCTGTTAGCAGGCCCTGGCTGCTCCTCAGGGAGGTGGTAGGGCTGTCCTTGCCCCACCTGAACCAAGGACAGCTCTTCTGGGGGAAGCAGGGGTGGTTCAGAGGAAGCTGGAGCAGGGATGAGTCCGACTCCTTGCTCCAGCACGGTCCTCTCCCCCTGCTTCTGCAGACGGTTGAACCTGCAGACACAAAGACAGATTGACATCGGACCTTTGACCTCTGAGTGCATGTTCAGGGAACCAAAAGACTCCAGGTCAGTAACGACTCTCACCACTGCGAGATGGTCCTTTGATTCAGCTCAAAGAGCTGGATGTTAGTCTGAGCCATCAACCTCGGGCTGGCCAGCACTGCTTCCCGTATAGCCACGTAGTCTGCGTGGACGAGGGACCACCTGGTCCTCATGATCCCGCCGACGCGTGTGGCTTTAGGATGCAGATGGCAGAGCTGGCTGCAAATGGCCTCCACAAGGCGGATGGTGTCCGGCCAGTTTGCAAGACCCGAGTTCCCTCCAAGTAGGCAGCTGGAAGATGTGAAAAGAAAAAGTAGAGTGTTAGAAAAAAAAAAAGGCAGATGTTGGGAAAACTAGCACTTTATAGACTCCAACTAACCATTGGAGACGTTCCTTCTCAGGACAGGTGGTGTCCTCTCCCTTCGCTGCCTTGAAGCACCCCTTGGTCTGCCTCTCCTGGTATCTGGACGAGTAGCTCAGCCTCTGTGTGTCTTGCTCCAACATGCGCTGCCAGAGCGAGATGAGCTGGTCCACCCTTGGCTCGCTGACACCGTCCAGGTTCCTGACCTCCACCAAGGCCGTGGCCAGCTTCAGGACATGCTGGTATCCCGGCTGGCCATCAGGACCTAAAACCTCCTCCTGAAACCAGATGGAGAGTAGAAAGACTGCTGTGAGTGCAACAAAAACAACAAACTGCCATCTGATTGGACAAAGATGTGCTTCAATATTTTAGTGAGGTGAGTAATGTTCACCTCAGATTCTGAGGAGTCCTGCGGAGGAGGAGGAGCCTGGCTTCCAGAAGCTTCAGGAGAGGCGGGGGATGACTCAGACTTGGGTGCACCTGACTGGGATGCTGCCTGAGGAGAGGGGGATGAGGAAGAGTCTGGTGGGAAGACAGTGGGGTCCTCCTCATCCGCTTCTATCCCCTCATCCACGTCCTCGATGTCAACAACGGCAGCATCCTCATCCGGAGCGTCAGGATCCATGTCGATGTCCTCAAACACGCTGCCCGTCTGCTCGTACAAGTACTCGAGCCCAATGAGCTCACCTGAGATGAAGCAGGAAGCACAAAGGAACCGCTGAAAAGCCGTTCCTCAAGGTTTGCTCCTGTAGGATAAATTCTCTTTTGCACAACAGTTACCTGTGTACGCAGCAGGCTTGGTGAAATCCTCAACCATCTGATGTCCAAGCACCCTTTGGCTCTTCTGGTTGAGGGCGTGTTTGAGGTGGCCACTGTAGGACAGCAGAGACGTCTTCACCCCTGCTGCACTCACCGGTGCTGCAGCCGCTGCGCGATCCTCGTTCCACCTCACCACTCCATCCACAAGGAATGCCTGAAAGTAGCAGGCACGAGCAGCCTTCCCTGAGGAACACATTTATTAATGAGAAACTGGACTCGTTGACTGTGGATAATGCGCCCTCAGGGAGCTGCATTTACCTGGGATGAAGCGGTTCAGGTGGAGGTGGAACGTCTCCAGGGATGTGGATCCCCTCGCGCAGCGGTACACGGGGAGGCTGACGCCGCCTTTCGTCAGCGTCCCGGTCAGAGTGTACAACTGCAGGCCCGGTGGGTCCTGGATGCAGCTCAGGTGCCGTCTCTGCCTTGTCCAGATGTCCTGGATGTGGAGATCATCCAGCAACGGGATGTTCATGGTGTTACGGCCTGCCGGTCCCCTGAAGGTGTCCAGGAGGTTCTGAATGAGGAGGGTCGTCTCTACCGCTCCACGCGTCCTGTGGCGACAGTGGAGCCTCCACTCCTCCTTGGAGATCCTCCGGATCACCTCGGTGTCGGTCAGGTTGACCATCCCGTGCTTCCCCTCCAGCTCGGACCGCTTGGCATCGGCAAGACGGCGGGCATCTTCTGAGTCCACCTCGAAGATGCAGTGAGACAGCTGCCTCATGAAGGTGGGGTAGAGCTCGTGGCTCTTGTAGGTGACACCTCCAGCGAAACGCCTCATGAGGTGCCAAATGTCAAGCCGAACCACGAGGGTCTCCCACTCCTAGAAAGAGATCAGTGGGAGTTGGATGAAGTTGTTAAAGGACCATTACCCAGATGAAAATCAAATCATCTCAGTTCGTACATTAAACAGGGCAGCTGTCTTCGACACGCCGTCTCTGTTGCAGCAGTCACGGTCCACGTAGATGAGCCGGGGGGGAGGAACCTCGGCGAGTCGATACCGCCTCATCAATCCGGCCGCCATGGGAGCCAGGCCCTCGTTTGCCTCGGAGCAGGTGAGGACGCTGTTGAGGACCTGGCCGTGCTCATTGCCCACGTTGGTGATGCAGGCGGCCGTGTCCGAGGCGGCACCGGCGAGCTTCTTCGTCACCTGAACAGAGACATGTTGGTGTGAGTGAGACAGAAACCGCGGTTACCAGCCTCTACAGTCTGACTGACTGAATCTCTGACCTTCTTAGTCGAACCCATCTTCAGGATGGATCCGAAGGTGGACGTGATCCTGGCCTTGTACTCGTCCAGCCGCGCCACCATGTCGTAGCCATACACCGTCAGCAGCCAGGCTGGTGACGGTACAGGTGGCATGGGCGGAGGTGGCGCAAACTGCTGGACGGAGCACAAAGACAGGAACTGCTCGCACACGCCGAGGTAGTGGATAGATCTCCTCATCCAGGAATCGGTGTGCTGCTCCCGCAGAGTGTTGAACAGCCGTCTGGCACTGTTGCCCAGAGTGCGAGACCTGAGCTGTTCAACCACTTTCAGGTCACAGGACAGCCTGCAGAAATGAGACATCACCAGGTCAGAGTATAAAAGAATAGTTCAATGTGGTGTCAAGATAAAAACAGAGGTACGGTACAAAAACCCACAGTTGTTGAGGTTGTGTCTTACTTGTACGTGAGTACAGCTGGAAACAGGCAGCTGTAGGTGGGGGGCAGCTGCCTGATGATGCCCTGTGACCACCCTCCGACCTTCTTCTTACACCGACGGCACTCAAGGTACTCAGTGGCCATGAGATACCAGCCGTCGATGTCTAGGACCCTCCGGATGGTCCTGTAGAGCCCAGCCTTTGTCATGGACCCACTGCACAAAGGCTGGGGGCAAGTCAGCTGCAGATGCCACATCCTGTGAGGCATCCACAGGAACAGCCGACAAGCGAAGAAGGGGCCGGGGGATGCGGGAGGCTGGTTGTAGACCGGCCGGGGCTGGGGAGGGTACCACCACAATTTGAGGTCAGCGGTGAGGCGAGGCCGCTCAACGTGGTCCCTCACAAACAGCGTCCGACCGATCCACTCCTGATTTTCGGCGCTGAGAGCGGCCTTCCAGGACTCAGGCAGCAACTGCAGAAACAAGACGAAAGCTTCAACATCCCGTTGAGCCTGTTACAGTGAACTGGTTTAATGTCTGTTAGCTCACCTCAGCACCGTCAGGAGGCGGCGGGTTTCCTCCAGAGGGGGCGTCCTCCCTTGTGGTGGGCTCTGGAGGGCAGTTGGGCTGCTGGGAGGCTTCGTCCTCTTCTGTGGCCTTCAGCAGCTCCTGTTCGGTGGGATCGTGCAGCAGGGAGGTGGCGGCAGGACGCGGCTGTCTGGTGGAGGCTGAAGGACAAAAGAAACGTTTCAGTAACAAACTAGTGTTTTCTGCAGCTCACACACACACACACACACACACACACACACACACACATAAACACATCCAGTCACACACATCTGTTGAAGAAGGTGATGCAGCCAAAGAAGCAAGCATGATTCAAGGTTACAAAGAGCTAGATCAGGGAAGGAGTCTGGCGGGTCGCTACAAGACAAAACATGCAAAGCATTTACTGGACTCAGACTTACTGTTTCACCTCTGGTTCATCTGATCGTTGGAATATTTGTGAAATATAATGGGAAATTTGTTTATTATTTTTTATCGTTTTTGTCAACAGTCCAGTCAAAGAGAAATGATGTGGTTGTTACTCACACTTCTCCATGGCAGCAGTAGGCCTGACCAGCTCTTCTTGTGAAGATCAACTCACAGTAAAGAGGATTCTTAAATGATGAAACTACAGAAATTGTGAAAAAGAAAACGTAGCAGGGTGATAAAGCGGCTGGATCACAGCACTTCACCCACATCAACTCTAACAACCCTCATTTCTCCATCACTCCCCACAGTTAAAATGGAAACATACTCGGGCAATAAAAAGCAGGCTAACCAGGAACTTTCACAGAGTTAAGTGTTTGTTTTGCCCCCTTTAAAGCAGAATTTAAAACTCGCGTCGTCCCGTTCTTAACACTGATACAATATTATAGCTCATACATTAGCGCGGCATCGTTTCCCGCCACCCCCGTCAACACAGCATCGCACTTCAAGTCTTGAGATAAAAAAATAAATAAATGCGGAAAGATTAGGTCGTTCAATCTATTTATAAACGGAACCGACCGATGGGGCAAGCTAAGCTAGCCCACAAGCTAAGCTAGCTGACTAGTTAAGACAAGCTAAGCTAGCTGACTAGTTAAGCTAGCCGCCTAGTTAAGACAAGCTAAGCTAGCCCACAAGCTAAG